CATAAAATAACTTAAAGTAACTAAGTAACTTTTACTCAAATTACATTTTAAATTAAGTATTTTTTTGCTTTTACTCGAGTAGATTTTTAGATGGTTACTTTTACTTGAGTAGGAATTAAGCAAAGTAAAGATATGGTTAAAATTTTTCAGTACTTTTTCTAAATCGTGGTTAAATTGTAAGAATAAAATATATAATTTTAACGGTTCAAATTCTAATACATGATATCAAAGTTCATGTTTGTGGTAAGTAACTATTAACAAATACTTATAGTAATGCAGTAATCACATGAATTGCCAAAGTGTCCATGCTGCTTGTTAAAATAAAGTCATGATTTCAATTGAAAACTCAGAAAAATCATTATAATAGAATAGTAGTACAATAATAGTAAAGGAGCACATTTTTGTTTATTTTTTGCTACAGATGTAATCAAACTAGTGCAAATTTTACAGCTGAAATTACTGCATGCCTTGGGAGCTAGAAACTGCTGATCTTTTTCTACATAAAGATTCATATCATAGTTCGCATCGTAACACTCTCCAATAATCAGCAGCTAATTTTAATTAAAACTGCTACAAAGAAAAAAAAAATTATTCCCAGATCGAAGGCACAAAGAAAAAAACACGGGGAACAAGTGACGCATTTGAGTTGAGAGCCACTCTGATGCTATGTTTAGAAACAGCAATATCATAAAGTAAATGTACGATGCTCTGTACAGTGGAGCAGTGGTGGGTGTAGGGCTGAGGAAGCAGGACTGGAGTGGGCGCAAGGAGCTCAAACTGCACAAACACACCACAATATTTTTGGACAACAAGGATATTAAGGCAGTTCAAATCATACTTACTGAGATTTTTATATGTAAGTACAGGATGAGTACACCACTACGCAAATCTTGTGGGGAAAGTAACACATAGAACAGAAGATCAGCCTAAATTTGAATGATCTCTATGACTGCTTTGTCGAGAATGTTACATCTCGTATTCGTTATTATTTGTATTTGTTATTAACGAGACAGACCACAAGTTAATTTGCAGTTATTTCATACACTGATTCTGTTGCATAAACGTTGTCTAGTGAAAATTTATATTGACCATTTTTGTAGCAGCAGTGTCAAATGTCCATAGAGATGTGACAGTAAAAATGTTAGTAAATTTTATGTTGGTAAATATTTCTCACACTCATTTACTTTTGAATGAACAGTAGTTTGTATTATAGTAGAATCTCTATTGGATTAACATTAACATTAGGTGAACTAGGCTCTAACTAGGCTCTATTAAAATACACTGTGCAACCTCTCCATGGAGATGTTATTGCTTTGCCTGGAATGTTCCACAGTATGACATTAAACAGCTGTACCATATTGTACGTTATGTACAATAACGTTTGACAGCAAAAAACAAAATCTAGTCAAGTTTAAGTTAACTTTACATTTACACTGAAACAAATCACCATTTTCAGAAAAGATTTGCATCCAGACACATCATTTCTAGGAAGCAGTTCTAGCTATACTGTTTCCTGTTTGTCTATGGTTTGTTTAAACTGTTTTCCGCAATAGCGTCACATGACCGATGTCACAAACCCAGCGAATCAGGAAGACACAAATCACAGTGACATGGACCAATAAGGACGGCAACTAGAGCTCCTACATCAGCATATCAACGTTTTCAGGCGTCCACACAGTGCCGAATCAGATCTGTACTAAGATGAATTCATGGGAACTGGCAGCACCAGCACGTTCCGTCTCTGGAGCCGTTTTCCATCAGATTAGTGTGGACGAACACTGCAAATGCAACGAAAACGACTCAAATATGTACCAGTGTGGATGGAGCCTTTCATTTCATTTCACTTGACACGTAAAATTATCTGCCAGTGGAACAAGGCTTTTTGTAGTTAAAATATGAATGTACATCTTACTACACTTAAAATAAGAAAAACAACATTTTGCACTTAAAATAAGAAAGAAAATCTAATGTTGCTTGAATTAAGAAAAACACACTTATTCCATCAGTAGATAATTTTACTTCAAGTTGAATCCTACTCAAATAAAGTAAAATGGTCTTAATTTAGTTCATTTTAATTTAACTAGATACAGTTTTTTTTCCAGTGCACTTATTCAGTTACAGGTGGTTTTACTGCTTACAAATATCTAGAAAAAAAGGCATTCTGACTGTGAGCGGGGTCACCTCTCCACAGATCTGGCCTATAACTTGGTCTGTATAGGTCTGGATAAAGATAGAAAGGATCTTTAAGAGAACAACTGATTAGTATTCACAATAATTAATGTTTGCGTTGTTGTTTATTGCTTTTCTGGGAGTGTAAATCTGAGAAAACCAAATGAGTTGAATTGGTGTCACGTGCGTTACAGTAAGCCTGTCTCTGCTGCCGATCCTTCTGCCGTTTGTGAGTTTGCCAGGAGCTCTCTGGCCTGGTTACTATGGGAACGGGTTTGTATCTCCACCGCAGTACCTTTGCTTTTTAACCAATATATTTAATGCTTTTGCTTGTAAATGAGCAGGGATTTTTATAAGATCTAGTTTTACCGGGCCTTACACAGAACAGAGGAGATGTCATGTCAACAACTGCCATGCTAAAATATGTTACAGCGTGAGTCTTGTCATCTGAAATACGAAATACTCTGAGTAAAAACGCATCAGTGAACTACAAAAAAATAATAACGATAATCAAAAACTACCCAGAAACAGATCTCACAGACATTATCAAGCAAAGGTAAGAACATAATGACCAGACAGGACTACAACCGTAAATCTAAAATCTTATTAAAAGCGTAATTAAATTTTAAATCACTGATGTCAAATTGGAACAATTATTATCACGCTGCAAAATGAATGAGAATCCTTAATACTTAATCTATAATCTGGGCCCACACTAAAACGTCACTGCTTCATTACTGCTACAATTGCAACAGGACATATGCGTAATGAAAAAACAGGATTCTTTGAACAGAAACGGAACAGAAAATAATTTGTCTTCTTCCCCAGAGGGAGCAGAAATGGCTGTCTTTGCCCGTCTTTCATGTGGCGATGTAAAGAGTGGGACGACTTAGGGACCTATCAAAGCTCAAGCACAAGGCAAATGGAGCTATCAACCCAGGAGGATGTCAAAATAATGCTCTCGGAGTTTGACAAAGCCAGACTCAGTGGGAGAGAGGGGGTCGGAGCGGGATAGGGCTCTGGGAAAACTCTACTGAATAAAGGTAGTTTTGGTGCGAGTATGAAAATCGTACTCTGTTGCTGACACATTTACTATTGACGACTTTGCAGCAGATTTCATGACATTCTCTGGGGGCGTGAAGCTAACAGAACGCACTGCTTTGTCTGAAGCTCCAAGTTAGACTTAATCTGAGTTTTATTTGAACACAATCTGACCAGAAAGAGCTGATTTGCTATTAGCCGACTTTTTTTTTTTTTTTTTTTTCTTCAATTAGTAACTCCCCTTTTTGTTGAAACTCAAATCGGTGAGTGCTTGTATTGATCACAGGCTCCAGGAAAAATGTTTTTTAAATCCATTTTCAGGTTTTCTCTTGAGTTTTCAGGCATTTTTGGCAGTTTTTGTGCAAATAGAGATACATGCAGAACACCCCCAGCTTGATCTCTGTGCAAAGTATCAATACTAGTAGTTTTGAAAAGTTTAGATTTTTTACTAAAGATATTTGGTATTTATAATAACTACACCTTAATAAAGCATGAACAAATACTCAAATCATAACGAACAAATGGTTTTAAGAAGGACTCAGGCTTATAGTTTAATACCGTAACCCCTTATTTAAGCCTGAATCATTCTTAACAAGTTTTTTGTTCATTATGAATCAAGAATGTGTTTGTGCTTTACTAGAAGTGGTGACATTATATTTCAGAAATGTGGATTTCAATTTTCATTTTACAATTCTTTTGTATTAAGGATTTTACTTGGTAGAGCTACTGAAAGAGATTTTCTAGTACCATCTTCTACCAAAAATAGTATCCAATTAAAGCAGAATTTGTAACGAATATATTCTTTTAATGTGTAGCCCTATGACATGATCCAGATAAGACGATGGGTTTAGACTTGATGAGGTTCCTGGTACAACAACTGGACACACACATCTGTCTGGAAATCACACTGAAATAATTGATTTTAAAATGTAAGTACATGATGAGTAGCCAGGCTGGAGCCACCTAGTCCCTCCACTCAATTTAATTTCTCTCCAGCAACTAGGTCAAGGATCAGAATACACTAGACGGTTTGCAAAAACCTCAGAAGTGCGAGTCCGGGCACCAGCCAATCAGTGAAGAGCCATATATTCTGTGTTGGCAACTATTCTCAAGATCAAGGATTTAAAGCCGGAACAAAGAGAATGTTTGGTGAATTTTATCAAGGGGAAAGACGTTATTGTCCTTCCTATGGGATTTGGTAAAAGCTTAATATACCAGTTACCCCCTTTAGCAGTGCATTACATATGTCACGACCAAATAACAGTGATTGGTTAAATGAAAAAAGTACCTGCCTACCGTCGAGCAAATGAATTCTAATGTTGCGAGGTGAATGAATCAGGCTACAGGATGAGTACACCACAGTGCAAATCTTGTGAAGGAATTAGCATGAGGCTTTCAGTCTGCGCTTTAACATTTGGACCACAAATTTCAATAAAGAAATCTATTTAAAGGGTGCACTGTGAAACTGAGTCTGCCTGTAACATCGTATTTGTTATTATCTTGTATTTGTTATTAAGGAGACAGACCACAAGTTAATTTGCACAGTTATTCCAGATAAGCATAATTTAGACTTGAAGAGGTTCCTGGTACAACTTGACACAAACACATCTGTCTGAAGATCAGCACCACATTGAAATCAGACTATTCCAGGACCAACCAACAGAGGCATCAGCAAACACCAAACAACATAGAAAAGTGACACTGAAAAAACACAAACAACAAAAACCCGTCAACACAGGAGCCACAAGAGCGTTGAGATCAGCCCACAGACAGCAGGGGGAGCCACTCACTTGGGGTTAACACTCCAGGAGGACCACAGCAAACCTCCGCTTGACCAACCAACCCAAACTGAGCCTGATGGGGCAGCCACGCCTTTGAAGAAGTGTCCATGCAGCTGGATGGCAGATACAAGTTCAGGTTTTAGACTTGGCTTCAATAACCACTGTCCTGATAACAACAGATAAATTCAAGTTCAATAGATGATAAAATGTGTGAAGAGAGTTTTCACGGTCCAAAGAGATCCCTGACTTTAGGCAAGGGACTGATCTGTCTTATTCATATAACTGTGTAACTTCTGTATTTACTCTTACATGTTTGGTACAATCAGTGGTGGATGAAGTACTCAATTTTGTTACTTGAGTAAAAGTACACATATAGGGGCAAAAGATTACTCAAGTAAAAGTATCACATGAAAACTAGTGAAGTACCTGTTTAAAAATGTACTAAGTGTAAAAAATTTGTAAAAAGTATTTTAGTGAGATTTTTAGATGATAAAAGCATCAAGTGTAGTGATTTTGATTTAAAACAAAGCTGAAGTGATTCAACTGGTTTCTGTTTGTGTGTATTTGTGTGCTTGGTTTGCTCAAAATTAGAACATTAACTCAAAATGAATGTGTTAAAAATGAGTCTCAGCCATTTTAGCAGGTTTCACATCATAAAGAAAAGTACTTATTACTTTTTAGATCTAAAGTGTTATGAAGTAGAAAGTACAGATACTTGCTCTTAAATGTATAGTAACATAAAAGTAAAAAGTACCCACTGTAAATTGTACTTATGTAAATTACAGACACTTTTGTACTTTTACTTTTGTACTTCGATACCTTCCACCACTGCAGGTAATCAGGTTCTGGTTTTAAATAGGGACAACTACCCCATATAAGTACTAAGCCTTATTATTAAAGGTCCTACTGTATATTACACAACTTTGACACTTGAGATCTTTAAGTCATGTTATAATGCTGTTACCTCCTAAAAAACAGACCTGAAGTTGTGATTTGTTTCATTCACACATGATCGAGTAATCCTTTATTATTAGTCTGTCTACATCTCCAAAAATGCTGAAGTGGTAGTTTTCAAGATCACAGTTACCTTTTATCTTTTGTTGAGTAGAGATTGGCAATTCCAGGGCTGAAATTATCTTCATGATTCTAGTGAAGGTGTATGGAGTTTAAAAACACAGTGGAACACTCTCTTTAGTACCACATGACAGAGGTGGGGACTAGCAAGTCATGACTTGGACTCAAGTCAGACTTGAGTCACTATTTTTAGGACTTTAGACTTGACTTGATAAAATGGACTAAGACTTGGGACTTGACTCGGACTTGAGAAGACTTGAGAAAACTTCAGAAGCACTTTTAAATCTGAATTCATTCTATTCTGACTGTAATGATTCATTTTATGATCTTGTGAAGACATTTTAAAAAAGAATAATTTGCATTTCTACAACCCTTACATATTCTAAAAATACTCATATATAAAAACACTATGACTTTATAAGTACAATTTATCTTAAAATTCATATAAATTGACAAAATCTAAGCTATATTATATTTGGTATTTTGGTTTAAAGAGTTAAAATGACTTGAAGCTCAAAGCAGTGACTTGAGACTCGACTTGGACTTGCCTGTATTTGACTTGGGACTTGACTCGGACTTGAGGTCAAAGACTTGAGACTTGTAAACAATGACTTGTTCCCACCTCTGCCACGTGACATCACAGGGTGGGACAATCTTGACAATGACAACGTTTTTTGTTTTTTTCGATTTGAGGGAAGAACTCAGCCTAAATATGCAACATTTTTTGTATTAAACATGTGTGAATGAAACATAACACAACTCTAGGTCTGTTTGTGATGAGGAAGCAACATTACAACACAGACAGAAAAAATAGGATAATATTTGCCCTTTAATTTATGCAGAATTTTTTTTTTATCATACTGACATAAATGTTCACTAAACTAGAAATAGAAACCTTGTGCAGGGTTTTCCTATGATAGCAAGTATAATACATCAAATGGCATTTTACTGGTTACTATAATAAAGAAGCTTGACGTGTGATCCTGCGTGCTTTTCAAGTGTTCTCAGTGAAATGTCATCGTGCTCCTTCATCACATGCTGCTATCATGATTAATTGATTGAGGTCCTGCTGACAAATCATAGTTTATTTTTCACATAATGCTATTTCTGGCCGTGCTATATGTTTCTGTATGATCTAATTCTGATAGATGCAGGACTCAATAGATCATTAACATTAAAGGTGCACTGTGTAACTTTTTGGTTGCTTGTTTCTATGGACATGTCACTACTGCCTGGAAAGTTTCACGGTATGACATTAAACAACTCTACCTTACATTTAATCTATTACAGGTGGTTTTACTGCTCAAAATTACCTAGAAAAGTAAACATTCTGACTGTGAGTGGCGTCGCTCTTCTCCACAGATCTGACCTGTAACTTGACCTGGTTTGGGTTCCATGAAGACAGAAAGGTTTAATGCCATACTGTGAAACATTCCAGATAAAGCAATCACATCTCCATGAAAAGCCATGCACCTTTAAAGTGATTTATAACCCGGTTGATCATTTCTTTGTGCACATTGTTTTAACTAAAGATGCACTGATCCAGCTTTTTTGGTTCCGATACTACAGATTTAAGTTTCTGCAATTCCTTTAAACAAAAATAAAACAAGACAGACCTGATCTAAATGTGTTATGTCACTGTTACTCATCTGAAGTAACTACAGAACAACTTTATGTAAATAAAAATTCAAACATTATGAGATTTTCTGGGCCAGCTTTGATCAGTAAATGTTCTTATTATATTAATTTATACAGTACGTCCAACCAAGATATGAGCTAAACCGATATTTGGAGTGCAATATTCAGCAAATTTGTCAGTATTAGGGATGGGACAAGACCTTGTGCTACAAGATCTCTTGAGACAAAATTGCCTCAAGACTGTGTACACATAACCTCAGATTTTTACATTTAGGTTAGATAAAAATGTTAACTTTGTTGAGTAGCTCCTCTTGAGAAGCTGTAATAATAAAAAGCAGGGCTACAATGTCGAGAAAACTGTAAAATTAAATACATATAAAAAACTGAATGGCGCAATTTTATAATTAAAAATTGTATCAAAATCTCGTTTCATCTCGTTCTCGTGAGCTGAATCTCGTCTTGTAGTAATTGAGTCTCATCCCATCCTTTGTCAGTATCAGCGCCAATATTAGATACTCGTGATGTAACGATATCTGACTCTTGGTACGATATTTTTACTACATGCATCTCACGGTACGATATTTATTGCGATATTTTGTGAAGGTTAACGAAATTATGCTATTTTTTCCTTTTAAAATTCCTTGACAAGACTTAATTTAACTTAAAAGTGCTTATACAACAGTTGTTTCTTTATGTTCATCTGCACTGAAACAGAGCAAAGGATCATGGTCTATGTAGTTCCAATTGTTTTTTAGCTGTTGCTGCACCAAAACATTAAATTTCCACAAAGAGACTTGTAATTCGATATATTGTGATGGCCCATGATATTATTGAGAGACTTTACAAGACGATACAGTATCATGATATTTCAGATACCAGTACTGGATCAGTGCATTCCTAGTTTAACCAGCAGATGTGAAAAAGCTGAATACTGAGCAGTCTATCAGCGTTGTCAGAGCAGCGATGTAAGAAAAGATTGTGAGAAGGTTGTGGGACAGCAGCCTACTGACAGGAGTGCCTACGTTTTTTGAGCAAACGTTCAAACAGACTGACAAAGCCTTTCTGTCCTTGGCACCAGTGGAAAGCCCCCTCCGTGTGGCGCTGAAGAAGATGAGGAGCTGTGGAGCTGGGCAGACTCCAGATCTTAGCACCAAAAACCGGTAAAAATACACTGATTCATGGCTTTGATATTTTAGCGCTAATTTCACTTCAGATTCTCATGATAGCTGTTAAAGATCTTGCCTGAATGGGACCAGAATATCCAGTGATAGGAAATGACTCACACTGCGCCGGACTTTTCTTAGTTAGAGATTTACTTGGACATTTCATTAACTGCAGATCCTCAGCGCTGCGCATGCTTAAGATATTGGTTTTAAAGCCACTACAAATCCAAAATGCCCCAACTTCAGTTATGTCCAAATTGCTTTACAAGGTATTAGTACAGGTCTTACAAGTTCAGATATTTTATTATACAAAAATAAACCTTTTTCAATAAAGTATACATCCCAATCCTACATGGTGCAGTCATTCATATTGCTCATTAGTGTGTCTAAAGGTATCATGCATACTTTTGACAATAATAATACTAATAAATGAATAATAAATTTTATTTATAGTATTTTTATTATTACAACTGAAGTCAGCCAAACCAAAAACGTGCATGTCTTTGGAGTGGAGTGCTTGGTAATGTCTAATTAAATTCCACCACAAAACACATACTGCACCTGTATTTTACCAAATCATCATATTCCACTTAACGAGCAGGGTCCTGTAAGTTCATAAAGGATATAAAGAAAAACAAATAAACAAACAAACAAAAAAGAAAAGAAATCAATGCTAATCAATGCTTGTCTTGATTTTCTGAAAGGAGCAGCAGGTCTGGGCTTCACTTTGAAATAACACATATGAATAAATGATATCTTACTCTCTCTGTGGGACACCTGCTGAGCACCCGCTGGGTTTTGTTCTATTTAGGGATTTACGGCTCTGCCAGTGTTTAGGCAGTTCACTGAGGATCTACTGACAGCTTTGCATTATTATTGATACCATTCTGGACATGGTGACATGATGTATTCAGTCATTATTATGTCTGTGAAAACTACTAAATGGTAGAGGGGTTACTTTATTTGTGTTCATAAAACACACATTTTTACACAGCCACTACAGTTTTACACATTTATACAAAATTATATTATAATCTGGCCATGCAAAGTTTGGGTACTAGATTGGCATTTCACTAAATGTAAAGGGACAACAGGAGGAATGTCCAACATATTAAACTGTGAGCATCTACATAAGGGAACATATTTCTAAAATGTTGACTTGCCACCAAAATTGTCTTTTTGAGAAAGATTAATTATTAATTATTATTATTTATAGACTTAAATGTTGGAATTC